AGTACCCTTTGCAGAGCTAGACATATCAAGAAATGTGGATCTTGGGAAAAATGTAGGTACAAGCATACCTTGGAAATATTGCAGGTTCAATTTCAGATCACTGCAGTAAAGCAAATATCACAATAAAGTGAGTTAAATGAATTTTTCGGTTTCCCAGTGCACATAAAATTACTCTGTACTGCAGTCTATTAAGTGTGCAATAGCATTAGGCCTAAAAAATATGTACTTAATTTTTTGAAAGATTTTATTTTTAAATAAACTCTACACTGAATGTGGGGCTTGAATTTACAACCCCAAGATCAAGAGTTGCATGCTTCGCCGACTAAGCTAGCCAGGCACCCCTGTACTTACCTTAATTTAAAAATGCTTTATTGCTAAAACGTATTAACCATCATCTGAACTTTTAGTGAGTCATAATCTTTTTGCAAGTGGAGGATCTTGCTTTGATGATAGCTGCTGACTGATCAGGGTGGTAGTTGCTGAAGTAGGGGTGGCTGTGACATTTTCTTAAAATAAGACAACACTGAAGTTTGTTTTGATTGACTCTTCCTTTCAGTAATAATTTCTCAGTAGCATGTGATGCTGTGTGATAGCACTTTGCCCACAGTAGAACTTATTTCAAAATTGGAGTTAGTCCTCTCAAATCCTGCTGCTGCTTTATCAACTAAGTTTATGTAATATTCTAAATCCTTTGTTGTCATTTGAACAGTCTTCATAGCATCTTCACCGGGAGTAGATTCCATCTTAAGAAACCACTTTCTTTGCCCATCCCTAAGATGCAACTCCTCACCTCTTTTAAGTTTTATCATGAGGTTGCAGCAATATAGTCACATCTTCAGGCTCTACTTTTTTTTTTAGTTGTTAATTTAATCTCTACACCCCATGTGGGACTCATACTCACTACCTCGGCTGAGATCAAGAGTCCATGCTCTTCTGACTGAGCCAGCCAGGCGCACCTTCAGGCTCCACTTCTGATTCTAGTTTTCTTGGCTCTTTCCACCATATCTGCAGTTACTTCCTCCACTGAAGTCTTGAACCCTTCAAAGTCATTCATGAGCATTGGAATCAGCTTCCAAACTCCTTTTAATGTTGATATTTCGACCTCTTCCCATGAATCATGAATGTCCTTAATGGCATCTAGAATGGTGAACCCTTTCCAGAACATTTTAAACTTACTTTGCTCAGATCCATCAGAAGAAACACTGTTTAGGGCAGCTCTAGCCTTATGAAAGTATTTCTTAAATAATAAGATTTGAAAGTTGAAATAACTCTGATCCATGGGCTGCACAACAGATGTTGTATTAGTAGGTATGAGGACAACATGAATCTTGTACATCTCCATCATAACTCTTGGGTGACCAGGTGCATTGTCAGTGAGTGGTAATATCTGAAAGGAATCTTTTTTTCAACAGTGGGCTTAAAATATTTAGTAAACCATGTTGTAAACAGATGTGCTATCCCTCAAGTTTTGTCCCATTTATAGAGCTCAGGCAGAGTAGATTTAGCATAATTCTTAAGGGCTCTAGGGTCTTCAGCATGGGCTTCACTTAAAGTCACTAGCTGCATTAGCCTTTGACAAAAGAGTTGGCCTTTTCCTTTGAATCTTTGAAACCAGGCATTGACTTCTCCTTTCTAGCTAAGGAGGTCGTAGGTGGCATCTTTTTGCAATAGAAGGCTGTTTTGTCTACACTGAAAATCTGTTGTTTACTGTAGCCACTTTCATTAATGATCTTAGCTAGATCTTCTGGGTGACTTGCTGATTTACCTTACACTTTTATGTTAGAGATGGCTTCTTTTCTTGAACCAACCTCTGCTAGCTTCAAACTTTTCTTCTGCCATTTAACCTCTCTCAGCCTTCATAGATAGAAGAGAGGGTCTTGCTCTGGATTAGGCTTTGGTTTAAGGGAATCTTGTGGCTGGTGATCTTTTATTCAGACCTCTAAAACTTTATATTAACAAGAAGGCTGTTTCACTTTATTAGCATGCGTGTGTTCATGGGAGTAGCACTTTTCATTTCCTTCAAGAACTTTAACTTTGCATTCATGACTTGGCTGTTTGTCTAGGAGGCCTAGCTTTCAGCTTGTCTTGGCCGTTGACATGCCTTCCTCCTTAAGCTTAGTCATTTCTAGCTTTTGATTTAAAGAGATGTGTGACTCTTCTTTCTCTTGAATACTGAGAGGGCTCTTGTGGGGTTAATTGCCCTAATTTCAGTATTGTCAGGTCTCTGGGAATAGGAAGGCCCAAGGAGAGGGCGAGAGATGGTCGGTAGAGCATTCAGAACACACACAACATTTATAGATTAAGTTCACTGTCTTAGATGGATGCAGTTTGTGGTGCCCTGAACAATTACAGTAGTAACATTAAAGATCACTGATCACAGATCACCATAGCAAATATAATAATAATGAAAAAGTTTGAAATATTGTAAGAATTACCAAAATGTGACAGACACAAAACGAGCAAATGCTGTTGGAAAAAATGTGCTGATAGACTTGCTCAATGCAGGGTTGCCAAAAACCTTCAATTTTTAAAAAACGCAATACCTTTGAAACATAAGAAGTGCAATAAAATGAGGTATGCCTAGATATGTATGTACATATATGTAGAAATGTATGACCTTTTTTAGGGTTTCTTTTGGTTAGGAGATAAGAAAAGGAAGAAGCTTATAATTTCAAACCCATTGGGAAAGTGGTATGCTATATTTTCTCTTCTTTTCCAGCAAAAATTAAAACTCTTCTGGAAATTGATTCATTACTGCTAGAGGACTAATAGGGGAAACCTAAGCATTCAATCCAATTCATGTTAGAGTAGAAACATTTGCCAGGCATGAAATTTCCTAGACATCTAAACATGTTTTTCCAGAAAAAAAATAATATTTAGTAACTGTGTAGAAACAGGTGCTAGCTAAAGTAAGAATTGTATGCACAGTTGGTGTAAATTCTGAAATTCTTGAAGATGTGAGGTCATCCTCTGCCACATCACCATAAAACGCCCAAGGAACACATTAAAACCAGCATTAAAAACAGAACATTATACTGTTTCATTCCTAGAAATAGGTGATTACCAGCAATCCCAAAATGCAGATCTTTCTATTCATTTGGTAGGTTTGGTTTAGATTTTATAAGTTTTTTTTTTAAGATTTTATTTATTTTTATTTGAGAGAGAAAGCACGCACAAGCAAGCGTGCATGCACATGCGAGTCAGGGGGAGGGGCAGAGGGAGAGGGAGAAGACTCGGAGGTTAGATATTTGTAAGTTGTGTTGAGGGATTTTTTCTTTTTTACTGCTAACACGAAATACATGCTCTTTCCCAATACCATTTCTCTAACTCTCCAACACCAAATAGGTGTCCTACAATTAAATTCTGACAGTAACTACCTGAACTTAGCATCAAACGCCCCCTAGGTTAAAGGGCTCAGTCCCACAAGACTGCCCTCACTTCAGATGTCAGTGGCAAGTTTGGGTCTCCAGGTTACCTGCACTTCTGTCCAACTTGGAGAGAATCGGTCTGTGAATATATGACTGCTCAGAGAGTGAGTTGTTATTATGCTGCTCTTTAATTTACCAGCTTACCCTTTCTAGTCCTTCCTTCCTTATTCTCTCTGATCACTTACTACTGTTACAGGTAGTAGAGAGGACAAGGCAGTGTTTTGAGTGTTTGATAGCAGAATGTAAGTTCTTCCTCCCTCCCTCCTAACTTTCTAACTTTCTTCCTACCTTTCTACCTATCTACATATTTTTTAAAAGCTGTTTCTCTATGCCAGAGAGGATATAAGCCCTCATGGAGTTTTCATTCAAGATACCCTCTTTTCTGGGAAAGGGTACCTGAATGTCCACATGTGGGGAGAGGAGTCTTAAATCTTGAAGTGTGAAGAGGACCAACTATGGCAGTTTTCTATATTATAAAAACAATTAGAGTCCTTTTTTTTTTTTTTTTAAAGATTTTATTTCTTTATTTGACAGAGAGACACAGCGAGAGAGGGAACACAAGCAGGGGGAGTGGGAGAGGGAGAAGCAAGCTTCCCGCCGAGCAGGGAGCCCAATGCGGGCTCGATCCCAGGACCCTGGGACCATGACCTGAGCCAAAGGCAGACGCTTAACAACTGAGCCACCCAGGCGCCCCTAGAGTCCTTCTTTATTTAGTATAATTATAGAACCTTTTTGATAATACTTTTTAGTAACTCACTATTTTAATAGTGTAGAGTCTTAAATGTGGGTGTCTTTATATGCTGCTGCCAGTTTCTTCCACCTCTTCTATAGGATAAACAGCGGGGGTTGGGGGGTTGTCTTTTTTTGTTTGTTTACTTTTGGTAATTCTGATAAGGCATATTTGAAATATTTACTTCATTAAGGGATAAAGAGTTTTTATTTTTAAAAAATAAGCACTTTATTGCAAAAGTTACTTCACCTTATCATTCTTTAATCTTTAATATACATTTTATGTATGTTGAAGTACTTTAGATGATTTTTTAAATGATAAAGGTTGTCATAAAAATAGTGATAGGTTGTACTATTATTTTTTTATTAACTGAAAAATTACATGTCTTCTGACTATATGCAATTTATTTATTTTAGGTGTTGAATTTTATGCTCCTTATATGAAAAATAGAAACAAAAATATTTGAAATTCTTTACTGCATGCCTTCTGGTCAAGCTGGTCTAGGTATCTTCTTTTTAAAATAACTTTTAAATCTTAGGAGTTTTGAGGTGAAAGGTGTCATTTTGATAGAGAAGAAAGAAGATAATGCTTGCACTACTTACATCCTTCATGAAACGATGCTGTTGTTGGGTAATTAAAACTAATCTTTTCTCTTACAGAGAGCTGTTGGAAATAAGACTGTGACTTTATTACTTTTAATATTTTAATCGGTATAAGCTGCTTTTTTTAAAAATAAAAAATGTTGTTTTTCAAAATTTCTAAGGGAGGAAAGAAAAACAGTTGATTAGCCTGTGTGTATTTTGATTTACATTGGATACTTTTTATTATTCCTTCCATAACAGACACTCCTTGAATATGCAGAGAAATGGAAAACTTCAGAAGATCCTTTACCTTTATTGGAGGTATACACAGTGGCTATCCAAAGTTATGTTAAAGCCCGACCTTATCTTACCTCTGAATGTGAAAATGTAGCATTGGTTCTGGAACGCTTGGCATTGTGAGTAGACCTTTGAGTAAATAAAAAATTAGATTCAGCTTTTTTGTTTTAATTTGGTATTTCAGTCTTATGATAGTTTAATTTTAAATAGAGTAGTTATGGGGTATCTACTGATACTAGGATTATTTATTTTATTTTACTTTGAATTTTAATAAATATTTGTATCCTTACAAATTTTTGTTTTTTTAGAAGCTGTGTTGAACTTTTACTGTGTCTGCCTGTTGAGTTATCAGATAAACAGTGGGAACAATTTCAGACACTGGTGCAGGTAAGAATATTTACCTATTAGATTTCATTTAGGTATATCATATATCCTTTTCTTTATTCTTAAAAAATTATTTGGCTACACTTTAAAACATCTAGGGAATAACCAGCATTAATTGCAGCTCTTGTTAACACTAATGCCATGCATATAGTAGATGTTCATAAATGTGTGTTAAATGAAGATATGCATTTAGATAGATTGGTTGAATATTGCACTGTTCTTTAGGAGCAGTTAATTAGCACTTTGCCAGACCAGTAAGGGAAAACAAAAGAAAATGCCCTAATTTGTATTTAGAAACAGTTTAATTGCTGAACATCTGCAATATGCCTTACACGAATTTAATATATCATTTAATTCTTATGAAAACTTTGTGGGGGTAGGTATATTTTTCCCATTTTAAAGGTGAGGAAACTGAGGCTCATACTTTAAAATATTTAGCTACCTAAATTTATACAGCTAATATTACAGAGTAGTTGTTTGAATCAAGGTTCTTTATTTCCAAAGTCCATGCTTTTCTCCTATAACTGAAAACACATGCTTTGTCTCTCTTATTTAGTGTTGTTATTCTACCTTATAGAAGTACTATGCAATTTAGTACTTAGTTGTCTTGGAGTATTTTCAAGAATGTTAAACTTTGTTTCAAGCACCAGATTGTGCTGTATATACTATAGCTTCAAGTAAGTTTTGATTAATTGATTAAAAAGAATGTTTTTGCTAGCTAGTTTCAGAAAGTATTTCTCTTTCTCTAGCCAGAGTTCATAAAATATTTTTGGCTTGATGTTTTTTTTTTCTGTAGGAGATATATTAAAGATAATTAGTTTCAAATTTTAGAAGCATGTGAAATAAACTGTAGTTAGAGAAGTCAGCTTTGCTATTTTAATATAAACCATTAAAATCTTCATCAATTGCAAAATTCTTGAAGGTAGGTTTCATATCTTATTACTATTATAGGATTCCATATAGTGTCTTACACATAATACTTAACTGTTGAAATGAAGGTGTCTTGTCTTGTCACGTTGCAACTAACTTTTTGATCACGCAATTTCTACTTCAGCATATCAGTAACTCATGTCTTAGGTTGTTTTGCCAGCAAGTATTTATTTTTAGGCAAATAATTATTTTAGAACTTTTCATTGTTTGGCACTCTATCCCAGAATGAATTAAGTTGTTTATATACAAATATAATACTGAATTCCTCATGCTATTTTGTCAGCATATGATAAACTTTTAAACTTTCCTTTTTGAAACAGTAGCACTAGTTGATACTTTTTCATATGGGTTAATGAGAAGGAAGTAACTCTTTAAATCCTTATATGGTAGCTTTTAGCAATTGCTTGAAGAAACTTTCTTAAAGCACTGGAACTTGTTGCAGTGGGGAGACTTCATGGTTTTGAGGAATAGACTAAAAACATAGCATGTAGCTTTAAGAGTTTCCATGACACTTTGCTCTCATTTCAGAGCTTCGTTGGGGTTATTTTATACCTGCTTAATAGCATATGTTTCATTTTGCCTGTGTTTAACTGTTTTAACTTTCTTTACCCCACTAGAGGATAAGCCTCATAAATGCAGGGACCAGTTGCTCTCTTCCCTAGTCCTTTGCCCATAGAAAGTCCAAATAAACTTTTTCTGAATTGACTAAAAACCATTGGTCTTTTGTGTCTTGAAGAATATGCTAATTGCATGAACACTTGGAAACAACTAGTAAGCAAGTTTTAGTGTCAGTTTTAAATAGAATATTGCCAAGGCTATGTAATGAATAAATGAAAAATCATGCATTTAGTTGTTTTCATAAGTCCCTTTTGTTGGAATATATGTACGTTGTCACTTAGGCCTTGATGCAAATCTGTCCTTTATTAATGATAGAAGTTTTTTTGGAAAAAGTTTTTTACTAACACAAAGGATATAAAATGTGTAAGGTCTTTTATGCTTGGGTATTCTGATAGCTTCCTTCAGAAGTAGCTTTGCTCTTGGTTTAGATTTTGGGGGAAAAATAATTTTGACTTATCACTAGAAATACATTGTATTTATTTAAAATTTACAGTTGATACAATTCTTGAGATTCATCTTTAAGAATCAGAAGTAAAGGAATTCAGCACTTTGTAATGTGATGTGAAATTTTAAAGATAAAAATCTTATTTTTCAAAAGTTTAGTATTATATTTAGAGCCTGATAAGCTTGCTTTTAAAAATCTGTTGTAATTCTTTGGATGTTTATTTAATATTTATAGGTAGCTCATGAAAAGCTGATGGAGAATGGCAGCTGTGAATTGCATTTTTTAGCTACTCTAGCTCAAGAGACTGGGGTGTGGAAAAACCCGGTACTGTGCACTATTCTTTCCCAGGAACCATTGGATAAGGATAAAGGTAAATTTTCTAGAGAGAGAGAAAAAAAAAGAATCATTAGATTAGAAAAAAAATAAGTACTTAAAATTGTTTTGATAAATATAATTCATCTCAAGATTTCCCAAAGAAGGACCATTTAATTAAATTTTAGCTGAGGTGCTTGAGGCCCTTCACCTTTATATTATTTGGGGGAAGATGTATTTTTAGGATATTACACAGTCTTAGAGTAACAGAAAAACTAAAATTTTTTCCCAGCACCTTTTCAAATAGAGGAATTCCCTCTGCAATATCCTGACAGGTGGCAATCTAGCTTATATTTGATAACCTACTTGACAGATGGGGAAGCAGAAGTAGGGTAGTTAAATGATTTTCCTCAAAATAGAGAAGAAATTAAATCTAGAATTCTCAAGTCTTCTGTCTCTAAGATTAGTACTCTTTCTCAAACAGCTTATCGCTCCATCTTATTTTATTGTTTTGTTGTTATTGTGTGAGCTTGGGCAATAAAGATCCCGGTTAAACTCAAACTGGCAGACACTCTGTTGGAAGTAGATGGCTAAATCACTAATAATATGTATAACACTTAATGTTCAGAGCTCAAAAATGGTATATACCATGAAGAAGAGCACAGTTAATGTCTTTGGGACTTTTCTTGAAATTATTTAGGAAAGTGCCCAGATTTCACTCAAACTTTTCCCATGGTATTTAACTAAAGAAGTAAATAAACTTCTTCTGTTGTTTATTGCTGCTTTGCTTGTTGATTGATGGCAAACTTTAGCTTTTTGCTATGTGATAGCAAATGGTGAAGGCTGAGAAAGGAGTGTTAGGTCCGTTGCTTGTGAACACTATGTACGTTGATATTTACTGAAAGGCTTTCCAGACATTCTCCAGACTTCTCTTCAAGCTGGTTTTTCCTACCTGGCTCCCCTCTTACCATTTCTCCATGCTTTCCTGATAGTTCTAGCAATGTTACCTGTTCCTTAATTTTCACAAGCAAATTATTTTTAGTACCCCCCTTCCATCAAGGATATCCACAGATTAACTACAGTATTCTCAAGACCTTGGAGAAATGGGGAGTGGACTCTCATTATTTAAATTAATAATAAGAACAACATTTAAAAGTTGAGAATCTTGGATTTTTTTTTGCCTTTGGCATATTAGTTATATTCCCACAATACTAATACCACTATGATTTTGTTCTTATAATCAAATTATACTTTCTAATCTATTCAGCTTTTGGAAATACTGGATGTAATATATTAATAATAATATCAGATTACATTGTATAGTTCCTAACAGTTTGAAATGTGCTTTTATATTCATGGTTTCATTTAACCTTGATGATCCTGTGAAAAAGGTAGGATCTTTATTATCCCTATTTTACAGATGAGAAAATGGAGGCTCAGGACGATTGGTTGTCTTTTCTATATTACATTGCCAGTGTTGTGAGGCAGAGCCAGGAATTGAAGTCAGGACTTCTCTCCTTTTTATATCATGCCCTGTTGCACCTAGCCTAATAAAATCGCACCTGGCTTAAGTAAAGAATTAACTCCTTTTTTCTGTTGTCAGTTTCTGAAGAGCATTTTTGCTAAAACTCACACATTACACTAAAACAGGAAAATAGAACCTTTACCTTAGCAGAGATTTAAAATTTATTTTAAAAGAATATATGCTCAGTTTCCTTACTTGCTTTAATGTGCCTAACATCGTTTCTGTTAACAAAGCCTCTGCCTATCTCTGTGCTGCTTTATTTCTTGTTCTTTGCCTGACATAGCTACTGGAGTAATTTGGACTATTCAGCCAAGAGCAGTTTCTTACAATAGCAGTGGATTGTAGGTAGCCAGACTTTAATACAACTCAATGAAGCAATCAGATGTTAAATGACAGAGATTTTGCAGCCATAGTCTTTACTTGGTCCTCTGCTACTTAGAATGTCTCTTCGATGGGAGTCATTTTATGGATAATCACAAAAGCTAGAAGTGTATGTTTATTACCTCTTTTGAAGAAGTTGAAGGAATTAACATTTTACACAAAAATAATAATTTATTTACATTTTCAAACTTGATGATTCAAAAGGATGGGGAGCTTGTAGTTTTAAATATCCAGCCTCTTAGTTTAACTTAACTACAGCAAGTTTGAAGAGAACTAGAGCTTAGAGAATAATGAATGCACTTCAGGAGGCTATGCTCATTAGTTTGTTTATAGTGAAGCCTTTGGAGGTTTGATACAGTATTTGAACAGTAATCTACTTAATCTTGAACTTCTTTTTTTTATTGACTGAGTTTGGACTCACTACAACCCAGCTAACAACCCGAGAAATGCTCTTTGATTTGGGGGATTGAGGGTGGGTGGAAATGCTGGTATCACTTTAAGGTGTTAGCATCCTAGAATAAAGTAACTCTAATAACTAAATCAACATAATTCAAGTAGATGGCCTTTGAATATCACAGGAACTTTAAGCTTACATATTACTTGTACCTTTCTTTGGTCATAATCTCAGGATTGGAAAGACAATGAATGCTGCTTTTTTTTTTTTACCCAATTTTAACTCCCTTCTAAATATCACTAATAAATTGGCCTTCTCTTAAACACCAGTTTATTTGCTAGAGAGGTGGTTTGCTGTGTACTTCAGTCTGTTCTTAACCTATGATTAGAAAATCTTCACTATGAAAGTTGTGAAAACTACGTTCTTAGAATTCCATCTTTTGGATTTAGTGCTACCCCTAGAGCCATGTCAAACAAAGTATAAATCCCTCTTGCATGCCATAGCAGTTGAGATTTTTAAAGATTTTAAATCTAAATCACGATTCCTGGGGTTTTTTAGTGCATTTTGTTGTTCTCTTTAATATGTAATTCTCAGAACTTAATGTGTACCCTAAATATGATCTGGCCAACTTTGAGGTCTTTTACTCTCATTTTTCATCCTAACAATTTATACTTTGTGTTACTTAAGATGACATTAAACTTTTTGGGTAGCCTATCATTCTCACAACTCAGTGAGATTACAAAAATCACACAAAAATTTTTAAATATAAATGCTACCCTTAAATTACCAACTACATTTTTATGCTTTGTCTTTTGGCACATGAAGCATTGCTTTTTTTTTTTCCCCTGCTTAATTTCACTGTTAGATTGATTCTGTGTATGCAACTTTTCAATATTATTTTCAGTCTTGATTTTGTTATTCAAGGTTTTTGTCCTTACCAGTTTCCTCTTATTAACATATATTCTGTTGGCATCCAGGTCCTTGAAAATAATCATAAAATGGTCATGTCCAAAAACCTAGCCCCTGGGATACTTACAGAAATCTTCCTTCTTGCCTTCAGTCCTTTAATCAGTACTCTTTGATTATGGTTGTTTGATAAAATATGCCTGTTTTTCCTTATGTCTGCTCCATGGTTCTCCTTTTTTGTATATAAGGATTTGATGAAAGACCATAACACCATAACAAGTATTTGGCTAGAGTTCTTTTAAGTAATAATATTTAATATAGGTTAGTATGACCTGATTTATTATTTTTTAAAATGAACTTTTTATTTTAGAATAGTTTAAGATTTACAGGAAAATTGTGAAGAGTTCCCATAATACCCCACTACCAGTTTTCCTTACTCTTCATATCTTACATTAGTATGATACATTTGTCACAGTTAATAAACCAGTGTTTATACTTTGTTATTAACTAACTTCCATACTTTATTCAGATTTCCTTAGTTTTTACATAATGTCCTTTTTCTGTTCCAGGATCCCATCCAGGATACCACATTACATTTAGTCGTCATGTCTTCTTAGGCTCCTCTTGGCTGTGACAATTTTTCAGACTTTCCTTGTTTTTGATGACCTTGACAGTTTTGAGGAATACTGGTCAGGTATTTTGTAGAATGTCCCTTAATTGGGAGTTGTCTGATGTTGCTCTCATGATTAGAACTGGGCTTATGGATTTGGGGAGGAAGATCACAGAGGTAAAATGCCATTGTTATTACATCATATCAAGGGTACATACTATCCACATGACTTCTCATTGTTGATACTAATTTTGATCACCTGGCTGAGGTAGTGTGTCAGGCTCCACTTTAAAGTTATTCTTTTTCTCCCTTTCCATACAGTACTCTTTGGAAGGAAGTACTACATGCAGCCCACAGTTAAGAGGTGGAAATTTAAGCTCCACCCCCTGAAGGGGGGCAGTATCTACACAGATTATTGGAATATACACAGATTTGTCTTTCCCCCATTTATTTAGTCATTTATTTATATCCGTATGGACTAATGGATACTCATTTTATACTTTAGTCGTAATCCAATACTATTTTATTTATTTTGTTAACTCACATTGACCCAGTTTTGGCCATTGGGAACCCTCTGATTTAATTTCTGTGTCCCTTTGACATACCCCTGTCATTATGGATTATGTTTTTTATTTGAGGTACTTTCTTGCTTTCTGGCACTATAAGGTACTCCAGCTTATTTTGCATATATCCTGCCCCAGGCCTTGAATCAGCTGTTTTTCCAAGGAGGCCTTGTTCTTTTTTCTTAGAGAACAGTAATAGAAACCAAGACCTGATAACTGGGTGTGTTTATTGCTACTGAAGTGACATTGCTTCTAGGGTGTCATTACTTCTAGGACCTCTCAACAGACAAAGCAAAAAAATATATGTAGGTATACTAATCTGTGTGTAGACACATCAGTAAATATTTCCATATGTAACCAGCTGTATTTATATCAAACTAAATAGGAGGGTTCATGCTGATGTCTTCCAGTCATTCTAGTCTTGTTGCTTATCTGTAACCTCTCACTTCAACAGAATGTCCTGTAATTGGAATCATGCAGTAATATAGTCTTTTCAGACTGACCTCCTACCATTGGCCATCTATATACTTAATTAATCAATCAGTCTTAGTGTACATGTATAGTGGTTTCAGAATTGATAACTTATACCTCTGTGGAAAACAACTTTACTGATTAGAATACAATGCTTATATACAATTTCTCTTGCCATTTTTCTTATAGACTCCACTCATCCAAAGTT